AATTGTCAGATATGCTCTCCGGCCGTTCTGAATCAATCGCGCACATATCTATATCTTATTTTGATATAATTTATGGTTCCATAGGCAAACACACAAGTACGACAGATTATGCAATAAAACGGAAAGATAAATTCCACACAAAAAACGCAAAACAATAACAAAAACAAAAACAAAAACAAATGGAAAATCAAACAAAATTGAATGTGTTAAGACGAGTTAATGAAATTAATAGCTTCGTGGATCAACAAATATTTCAAATATCATAAAAAATTATATATCTTTTTTTTGTACTCGTATATCTTGTATCTTACACGCAGCATCAAAGTGCATCAAAGTCTTAGTGTCTAATAAAAAATCGCGCATAAGTTTGAGGAAATTTTGTGGATCATTTGTTTTAATTTCATAAATAATTTTTAATTTTTAATAAATCAACGATGAGTTTTATTATTCTGTAAAATAAAGATTAAAATACAGATAAAATCAATGGAGTATGAACTTTGCACTGGATAAGATATGCAGATGAAGCCAAAGCCATCTAAATTTTTTATTTATAATATTTTATATTTTACTAATTAAATTTAATGACTTTCGACTCACTTAAAGAAAGAAAAATACTTTTTTGTTCAATACTTCCAAGTACGAATAACATAAGTTGACTACAGAATTGGTTAAAGTATCTAAAATGTGTGTATATGCTTAGAATTTAACAACACGTAAGTTCAATTTTTACCACTATCACTGTTTAAATTATATACCAAAAATTAAATACCTAAGTTATACACAAAGACCACTGATAAAATTCCACTTGAGGAACTCCAAAAAAAGAAACATATATCCATCGAACCTAGGTATTACTAGAGACGATAGCTGCAGACAATAGCTGTTGCGAAGAAGAAGAAACAGCAGAACACATTTTGTGTCACTGTAATAGTCTCGTCAAACTCAGACTTCGGTACTTATCCACTGCCAATCCACTCAAAACGGAATTAGGCAACATCTCTCTCCGAAGGACATAATGGCGTTCTTAAAAGATACTCGACTATGGAACTAAAGTGTGTATGTCACAATAATCCTCAAAGGATGCAGTGCCGCTATGACAAGTTCCCAACCCTTTTTAAAATCTTATCTAATATTCTGACTTGATTAAAGAGAGAATATTTTTTTTTTTCAATACTTCGAAGACCACTGAATATTTGAGATTGTCCAAAGAAATATCTACACTCCGAGCCGCTTAAAGAAAAAGATGTTTTTAAGTTTAATTAACATAAGTGGAGTACAGCATTAGTTCAGGTAAATAAAACGTGAGTCCATGTTTCAGTTTAGGCGCTTTAAGAGTTTAATATTTGGTACTAGTAATCTAAATATTATATATTGAAAATTAAATCTTAATATTTCTAAAGACCGATCTTTGTTGGTGTATATTTGAGAATGTCCAAAAAAACGTTTTTATTAATGTTAATGTTTTCTTGCCGAGAAAGACGTCTCTTTATGATGAAAATAAACTATTTAATGGTTAGAAAGACTCGAATGGTTAGAAGGACTCGAATAACAAAGAAAAGACAAGTACCGAAATTTTGTTAATTCATTGAAATGTTTATAAAACATTTTTATTCGATTCACATAAAAAAGATAAAAGAATATTTTTTATTAAAGAATATTAATAAGTTTTAGTCTTGAGTTTCTATGTTCCTTAAAACACCCTCCTAGATGTTTCTTCCGCCTATGCATCAGTTCCGGGTATTCCCCTAGCACATGTTATGCTTCTCTTCTCTGTAATAGCTACAGTCTGAGTTGAATTGGATTCCTAACTTTGTTAGATAATTATTCAATCTGCAGTGACTGGTTAGTATTCCGGTAGTATTAGTATGCTTAGATTATTCGTTGTTAGTACTATGCAATCCTTGAAGCGTTTTACTTCGTCCCTCAAAGCATTTTAGATTGCGATAGTGTTGGTAGTTCTACCCATTATAGTTCTCATTCTTTTTCCTCCGTTATTCCGTTATTTTTGCAAAATTATTTTTAAAAGTTGACAACTGTCTCCAATGTTTACAATACCTTTTTACCAATTTTAAATAATTATTAGAACTACAATATAAGCACAAAAATATGCCGTCATCGGACAGTTTTCCTTATCTTTAGATTATATTGTTACCGTTGAAGGGATATATCTCCTTGATTCCACTCTAAATACGCCACTTCACGATACTCTGCGTATGTTAGCCTTCAATTATTTTAAAAGCGTATTATATATTGTAATGAAATCTTCAACTACCATAAATTACTTTTTAGATACTTTAACGTTCTTCACACCACTCATCTCTTTCTGCACAGTTGTCTATTCAATTGACGAGTTCTTTCATATATCTTTGATGTCTTTTTACTATGATTAGGTCATCGACATTTGTCTTATAAGTGAACGATTAATAAATTTTCGCATCTTGTGACATCTTTACTGGTATTCATATTACCAATGGTAACTTACCAATATTTAGGATTTTCTTATACACAACAAATACTCTTTACTGGAGAAATTAGTTACTTTTCACATAATCAATATATTTTTTTGCTTCATTTCATATATATATGTTAATAAAAATATATAAAAATATTTATAAAAAGTTTTTATTCTACAACTAAAACGTCATATAAATGATATTTAAGCAATCATCTGAAATAAAAAATTCAAAATAATATTTTGGGTGAAGTGATTCATACACTCATGCAGAAATTTATCTAGATACATATGTTAATAATACAATGACACAAAGTAATAATGAAACAATAATTTGAATTATTTGTAGACAGATTATATAGATTTATATCTTCATATATAAAGAAAATTCGGCACAAAAAATCATTACAATTTTATAGTAAATAAATTATAGTATATATAGTAATTTTAGTACGTTCAGCGGTTGTTAAACGATTTGCTTAACAATTATTGAAACTGTTTAAATTGTGTTATTTCAGTAAAGCTAACTTAAGCTAAACAAGAATCGTTTAAAAATATTTATTAAGAAATGTTCACATATCGTATTGGTCAGGGAGAATTTTCAATGGGGACTAATGGAATCTGACTAAGCAACCGCAAACAACATATGTAATCAGAAAGCGTATATGGATGTGAACTAACCATATGCTTAAAAGACATGTAAACTACATAGCTAGCAGCGGAATCTACAGATGAAGTTCGCATTGCGAAAGGATGTACATGTCAAAGTATGGAAAAAGAAATTTATGAAGCCTATATCTGGCTTCATGGAATGATGTCACGAGAATAGTATCAAACAGAATATGATTTATATCAATACTGGAGGCCTTATGCACTAGGTTTCAACAGAAGTTAAGAAGGTAGTAAATTAGTAAACTAAACTTATGATACCTTAGATGACAGATATTTTATACTGAAACAGCACTGCCAAATTAGGATCACGAAAAGTAAAATCCTTTCGGAATATAAATAAAGTTTCGTAATAATAATAAAAAAATTAATAAAACATACTTCTCTTTTTTAGTACTAAAACCACTAAAACCACCATTTTGGTGTGATAGTTTAAAAAATAAATCAGCAAACAGATTGTGAAGGTGCATTATATTGCTAGCTCCATTCCGATATTTTATAAAAATTCTTGGCTTCTTCTGAAGAAGAGACGAACGTTTAAGGCAATATACTTACAACGTCAGTCTCGAGAACTGTGAATGTAAGTCTTAAGAGCGCGGAACAAAAGCATAACAAATATTCTTTAGTATCATCGTCTTCCAAACAAAGTGTACCCAATCTGTCGTCGACAAAGTCTTGGCGAAAGAGAAATTGGAAATTAGCCTTTCCATTTATTTCGCGATTTCTCCATTTATTGCTTGCTTTAGATTGGATTCAACTTTGAATATTTTTAGAAAGAAGGATAAAGGCATTGAATATGTTTTGCGGTATTATCAGCCTCTAAACAAACTGGATATAAGCTATTATCGGCGAAGCTAATATGGTAGAATTATCCGGTGCACCTCGTATAACTAATAATCTCTTCCATTATTAATTGAGAAACCATATGACATATCAACAGGACCTGCAACCTTAGGATCCAACTGTGAATATCTTTGAAAAATCAAATTAAAGCTCTTATAATGATCCATTGTGTTGTTCTCCAACAAATAAAATGGATATAAACTATTGTGTGAGGTGTTTAGTGAAAGTGCTAACCAGTAGATGGCATTTACTATTAGTCAACCCTTGGTACTTGCAGTCTCAAAAAGCTATTTACGAATGAATTTATATAGGAAATAATTCCAAGATCACTGATGATGTGTATTTCGCAATACTTGAAACAGCTATGGGGTCAGCTAACTATACAATTAATTAAAATAATAAAAAAAAGTTTTGTTGTTGTCGTAGTTCACTACTATTCGAAACCTCTATAATAAATACAATAGTTTCTATTAAGTAACATAATCATTGTCGTCATAACTAATGTGGAAATGCAATTTGAATATATTTAAATATAAATATCAAAATTATTTTCCTGGTTTACCTATAATTTTACGTACTGTTCCATTACTATTTTATGTCACTGTAAGTATACATATGCTTAAACAAACATACATATATGAACACAATAACCAATGTGTATAATAAGCTGTCAGAATCTGTGTTTGTTGGCCACATTACAAGCAAATTTCCATGGATTTTAGTATTTTTATTTGCAGATGAATTGGGTACATGAAATAGAGCTCCGTCTTATTATAGATCCATGAGAATTTGAGGAAAGACGATTCGATTACGTTCGAAAATGTTTACGTTTTTCATTTAAGAACAAAAATTTATAATTTAATATTTCAAAATACGTAAACTAAAATATTAAACTTTTGGCGTTTTTTGTAGTTTTTAAAATTTTGTTTTGATTTTGGTTGCCTTTTTATACTTTATTTATTTTTATTTTTATTTTTATTTAAAATAATTTTTTTCAGATCTCAAAAATTCGCCGTTGCCAAATTTTGTATTTACATTTCAGTGTATCGCGGATAACGAGGAACGGCAGCAGTTTTTAGAGCAAAATCACCAAAAATAAAATAAAATAAAATTTCAAATTTCGAATTTCCTTAAAAAATAGACAATTTGAGATAAAACAAATTTCAAATTTCAGTAAAAAATCTTCAGCGATTTCCTCAAATGTGCGTACAAAATTTTGACAGAACGCAAAAAAAAAAAGAAAAATAATAATAAAAAAAAAATGAAATTAGCGTACAAATTTGTGACAAAATGTGGAGCAAATAGCGTTTAAGAGTTTGTTTTGATCTTTTATTTTCATTCTTAAAATTTTATTTATAGTTCTGCTCACTTTGCGGTGGTGCTCTCCTCCGATCGGTTCGGTTGGTTCTGTTTATTTTGTTGTGGTTTCCGCCGGTCGATCAGTACCACGGACTTGCATGGCAATTCTCTTGGTTCACCTGCGCCGCCTCATACTACTGATGAGCGTCGTCTACCTGAGTGGCGCTCTGGTGCGCAAATTGCTGAGTGATGCACGTCACGCTTACATATTGCAGTGGAACGGAAAGATGACGTGGTCCAAACAGTTGCACTTTCAATACTGGGCCTACATATACACGATATACACATATCTACTCCTCGTGAATTCTGTTAGCGTGCGGCGCTTCACAAATTTATTAGAATATTTTTTAACATGAAATGACTTGAAAGATTTTCAAAAGAATTTTTATTAAATTAAGTTTTACCTTTAGTTATTGATATGTACTTGTCTAATAATAAATACCGATCAATTATTTAATAAATTTTTCATATATATATGTTATATAGAACTTATATGATGAAAGCTATCAATTTATAAGATGCTATTTCATTTATGAGGTGAAGAAAATTAACGTTAAAAATCTTTTATAAAAGGTTTCTTACAAAAAATATTTCTGGATATTTATTAACATTCATACCTACAAATGCAAACATATATACCATATATATATGCATGTGTATATACATTAAAAGAACAATAAAAACAAAGACAACTTGGACAGCAGTAGTAGTAAAGTAATCTATTTTACTTCTCAGTGATTTTAATACTTACTTACATTCATAGTTGAGCATACACTTATTCATACATTACAAGAGTAATAAAAATAATAAATATAAGTTATATTATATAACATATGATATACCTATATATAATATAATATGGTAATTGTAATAAGTTAGGCTTAAGCCTTTATGTACTGCGACCAGTTTTTTCTGTTTTGCACCCCTTTGTATTTAGACATTTAATACCTCGAGGAAAAATATTAATTACTCTGACAGCCAGGCTGTTCTCAAAGCTCTATCCTCTTGGACTTTCAAGTCAAAACAGGTGCTTGAGTGCTATGAGCTCCTATGTTACAGCTACTTGTAACTTGGAATAAGGTTAGCTTTTACTGAGTTACAGATCACAGGGGAGTTTTGGGAAGTAAACAAGCTGATGAGCTAGTCAGAACTGCATCAAAAACGGCTTTTGCAGGCCTTCAACCCTTTTGTGGAATAAACTGGGCCAGTAAAAAACAAATGTTCAAGGAAAGAGAATATCACATGTGGCTGGAGTACTGGGGAAACTTTGCTGGACTCAGACAAAGCAAAGCACTAATAACATCGTATTCCTACAAAGACATCCTTAAATTCTCATTATGGACTGAAATATCACCTTCATAAACTACAACTATCTGCTTATTCGGAATGCAGATTATGCCTCGAAGATGAGGAAACTATCATGCATATTCTTTGTGAATGTCGAGCTTTAATAAAGCTCAGAAGAAACTTGTTTCATTTGGAACTTCCGTCATCAGAGAACAGATTAAGAACTCTTCTCTAGATTTAGTTCTAGACTTTAATAGTGAAACTGGTACAATAGGACTCTTCTGGTCGCAGTACCTGCTGTTCGGCGATTTTGTGTCTAAACTTTTAATAATAAATAATCTCGAGGAATAGAACCAGCTCCTTCAGAGAAAGTTTTTTAAAGTCTTCATCTTTTAGTTAGTATACACCTAAAATTTTATTTCTTCTATCAGAGTTGGTGATAAGATGCTCGATAGAATCTTCTTCATCAAAGCAGAATCTGCAAATATTTGTGTCGGATATAATATAATATAACATATATATAATAATAAATATAATATATTATAAATGCTATGAAAATGTTTGGATAGTAAAAGAAAGAATGGAGCAAAAAAAAAAAATAATGATGTCGTCAAAATTTGGACAAATCCAAAAATATTATGCAGAAGAGCTTTCTTAAAACTTAATATAAACTTAGAACAAGTAGCCGAATCTTAAGAAGAAATAAGAATTCTTCTTAAGATTCTTTCTTTAGTCTTAAGAAGAAATTAGAATTCTTCTTAAGACTAAATAGCTGCAGATGCAAAAATACAAATCGGGAATGACCTACAAGGTCGAAAATGTAAGTTTAAATTCTCAACTCTGAAACCCTCTTACACCCCTTTTAAGATTTAAATCAATATTTATAAACTCTGAGACTATATAATATATAAGAAAATAAAATCTCGGAATTGAATGCTTAAACTTTAGTTCAAATCGTAGATAAATATAAAAACCCTCTGGGTTTTAAATTTAAACTAATACGAAATAGAAAATTATTTCGTTTCCTTCCATTTTTCAATTTAAAATAATAAAGTTTCTAATTTTACATGTACCCTTCATACAATATATATACATAGTCTATATATACTAAGTGGGTAGATTGGTAGGTAGGTTGAACTGACTAACCCAAACCTGATGAATACATAGCGATAGGTAATAAGTATTCCTAAACGCAGTTGATAAGAATAGACATTAGTTCTGTTATGTTACATATTAGCGAATTTCAATAGATAGTTTACTCCAGTATCTAGAAGATAGCTCAGCAATTGAAAGTGGCTGTTCCACCGATTTTAATTCAAGTTTTTCAGTGAAATGGATAAAAACAGAGAAGATGCTCCAAAATACAAAATGCAAAATACATTTTATATTTTCGTTTTTAAAAATATCAGATGGGACAGAGTGAGTTATATTTTGTTTTTTTTATTTTTTTAATGTAAGAGTTATTTTTGATGAATATAATATAAAGCAAATTTAATTAATATTTTTTAAAATTTTATTTTAAAACGATCATATATAAAAAGCATGCATAACATTAGGGACGAAAGTTGTTAGTTAAAATGATAATTTTATGCTTAAATAGGAGTTTCGACAACTTTTTATTCCTGCTTTTTTTCTTAAATAACTGAAATAACTATTATTTTCGATCTCTGAGATTTAGAAGTTGTCGTTCTTATCAACTTAAAAAACAAAGTTGCACTTAATGTACTTAACCAACACTGAAAAAGAAGCCATCTGATATTCGAATTTAAAAGCAAAATTTAGTTTGTGCATTTTGGTTTGTGTATTTGCTAAATAAAAAGCAAAGACCGTATTATTACAAAACTATGCAAAATGTAGACCGTATAATACTCATACGATCTTAAAGGTTTTTAGACAATGCGGCTTCGATCGAGAAATGTTAAATTTCGCTTTCAAATTTTAAATATAAAGAATCAAATTAATTTTGTCAATTTTTATAAATTTTTTAAATTTATTTATAAGTACCTAATTTTACAAAAATGCAATTAAAATCATTAATATTTTTCGAGTTAATTTATGTATAAATTAATATTTCGAGTTATGTTTAATATTTTTGTTAAGAATCTATCTAAGATGGAATGAGAGTCATCACTAGAAATATTATATTCGATAACTTAGTTAAATAAGTATACTTTAATGATTTAATGACACAAAAAATAAAAATCTCTATCCTAAAATTATATACTAAAGAATTTAATATTCATCTCAGTCGATTAGTCACAGACGATCGACACCACTGTGCCTTTGGACTGATATTAAATAAAAATTTTAATTTTAGAAAGCAATATAAAATTCTGGTTACTACATTTTCATTAGTTTATCATTGATTTTTGGCTATATCTCACGAAAATGCGCTATATATTGACTCCTAAGGTTAGAAACTGTACTAAATCGCCCACATGAACCACTGATTTAACATAAACACAGAAATAAGCCTGACAATGCCTAATTACCCGACCTATATGGATAGCAAATTCCCATTACTAAACACTATGTTGTCTCTAAACTCTTACTTCTATAAGTCGATGGTTCCCCTAGTTTTATGTCCTGTAATATCTTCTTTTTGAAATAAAGTATTTTCCGATTAGCTTACGCACTTTCTGAAATAAATTACGGCTTAGCAATATTATGAGTGACAATCAAATTTTTCGTTTTAAAGACACAATGAGCTGATTGTGCCTGGTTTGCATTAATGAATAGCTGGTATTATTGGCCCATACCCACTTCACTTCGCTAAATAATTATATTCCTGATTTTCATTCCACTACAGACATTCTTACTAATTTGTTTCCTGTTATAAGAGAGAGGTATTCTCAGTACCTCTCAAAAAAAAAATTTGTATAAGTGCATTCTGTTCGTTTCATCAACTTCTCTTCAACGTTGATATTTGTCACCCCGATCTTAAATTTTCAGTAAATTCTCAGTAAATTCCCTGTAATTCTAACCAAAAATCGTATTCACAAATCGAGCCTTCCGTTTTCAACACTGCTTTAGTGTTTTGGCTTAGATCGATCATCTTGTATTATGAAATTTTTAACCCATTAACTTTTAGTTCTAACTGGAATTGGATTCTAACCATTCCCATAATCCCAAATGACTGGAATCTTTATTACTGATTCCTAAGAGTTGGTTTTAGTGGACTTATATCTCACACGGTGGCTATGGTTGTAATATTCATAACTTATTTTTAAGAAGTGGTTTTAGTGGACTTATATCTCACATGATGGCTGTGATGCTTTTTGCTTGTGGAAAAAATTTCATTTTTTCGAAAAAGTGTTTCTATAATATCTATATCTTTAAATTGATTAATGAAATTCTTTTTATGCTTTAAATATAAAGTCATCTTCTATGATTTAATAATATTTATACTCGTACTATTATAAACAGTATGTAATGTTACTTAAGACTTAAAAATATATTTTATTATTGAGTGGGTTGGAAATATTATTTTCACATATAAAAATAAGAATGATATAACGATTAAAATTAAACAATTATAATAAAATTTTCATTTAATTATATTTAACAAATTAAAATAAAAACGCTCATTGTTTCGTTTAATTTTTGCATTAATTTTTCTCTAAATAAGTATATGACATATTCTTTCTAAGAGCAAAGACATATGCATATTCTTCGCAGATCTGTGCACATTTCAATTAAAAATAAACAAAATTTATTCATTTATTTATTTATTTATTTATTAAGTAATGAAAATGGGGAAGACACCAGCTCTCGTCAGAGTCAAATTTACTTTGATGATGAATCGCCATAGAGCATAAACAATTATGAAAGAATTTCCTACGAATGGATGATTTTTCAAAGATAAAAATATTTAGAAAATAAATAAAAACTGTGTATATTTAATGAAATTGTTTATTTCCAATTGTATTCTATATATTTTATGTGTTTTCATTTAATTATTCACAGCAGTAAAAGAATAGACACTACTTTGCTCTTCTCCAGACTATTCAAACACTGAGGATCGGCCTATATCAATCCTGTTCTTTACTATTCCTACATTCATATATAGTATTCTTACTCCTAATTTTAATGTGTACTCATATTCTATTGAAAATGTTTATATACGAAAACAATTCCTAATAAATATGATCTGCTCTAATTATATATGTCTGCC